TTTACGACCGTTGACATAGAGATGCCGTTTTTTCGGCGGGATCTCTTGCTCTTGTTCTCCTGTGGCTCCCATCTCGACGTGTTGGCCTCTGCGCGAAACTACTATCGCGATACGCTGGGCCCTACCGAGTCATTCGTCAGGTCACACCTGTGACCTACGAGATTGCCGCTACCACAAACTCATCAGCTGCTCCACCAGAACGTAAGTAGTCCACGTTTCTCGTCCCAAGCCCTGCAACGCCGACTCGCTCATTTCACGGGCACCGAGACGGTGTCTTACGGGCCGGGTTGATGATACGTGTATGGAACTGTCGCCCTGACACAGCTGAATTGGCACCCAAATGAAGAAGACGACAACGTAGTTGTTGTGGGTTGGACTCTCGAGCACTCCCGTTGGCCTGCCTAACTGTGCGCTCTTTAGGCCGTAGCAAGACCAGCTCTCGGTGAATAAATCTTCCCCGTAACAATATGATCAACTATGAATGAAAGCAAATATTTACTTTTATTGCTATTGCACTCATAGGGATACTCTAGAAGGGTTTTCAGAGTAGGAGTCAGCATCGCAATTACGTCCTCTATATTGTCTAACTTTGCAAACAATCCTTCACACACAATACGTTCTTTCCGTAGGTTAGAGCGTGCAAGTGGGAACAACAAAGGTGGCTGAAGCATTCTTCAAACAAGCCAACCATATGTGTTGCTTGGCGGGTTCATTCAATTGCATTTCTCATCATATGACGTCCAGTACGAATGCTGAATATCCAAGAGGAAATGCCCCGCCCTTTTTGAAACAAGCATCAATGGACACCAAAAGGTGTGGCCTGGCTCTGCTCCTCGTTGCTTATTATTTGGCGGATCAGCTACTTTGTCCCCCAAAAAGCCCGATGTATCAAAAGTGCCGAGTCAACACGACGCCCGAGGCCGCTCTACTATCGATGTCTCAGCCTGTGGGTTCTAGGTGTAAGAATCCGCCAACACCCGAAAACAGAGGAGCAGAGGGCTACAGCAATACGCGCTTCCTAGTTGGTCTGTGTTGTGAAGCTTTGCGACTTCTCAAATTGGCCCCAATCTCTTAACTGGGCCTTCTAGTTCACGTATGATGTCTCGTCCGCCTGTGGCGGTGCTTCGGTGTGGGTGCCCAGCTACAGGAGCAAAGGTGGAGAGTAAAATCAGTGCTGTGCTCGTTGCATTTTGACTGAGGTGAAACGCTACAGGCTGCCTACTGCCCGATATCACTGCGAGTTAAAAAATACCAGATGGTGAACTCTTCTACAGCCTTGCTATAATGCATGCGCAATTAATACATTGTATGCTTGTACGTAAAAGACCAAATTTTATCATAAGTGATGCTTCAACAATACCAGCTTCTGTACTGAAAACATATGACAGTACATTTGTGTACATGAAATAAAAATAGTCACCAGTGAAACTTTTTTCTTTCGACCACATCAAACAATGTTCTCAGACAGCAAAGAGTACTCCAGGTTAACAAAATGAGCCTGAAAAGAGGCCGATAACCTTTGAGATATGAAAATACTATAACAAAAAGAGAACCACCGATCTGCCAGGCTAGGTGAACCCAACCACAGGTGCCTGCATGAAGCACTAGAAAAACATTTATGGCGTCTCAAACTGACATTTTGTGGTCCTGAAAAGTTTAGTTTTCGTACCATCATCTCTATCATACACCTAGGCTATTTCTGGTTGATGTCCACGTATTAGTGCAGAGTCCGAAAGTCCATAATTCTAGTGCGTGCCCATTATCGGCCATCCTGAAGTGACATAATTTGACTGTGAACTCGATTTACTCTATAAACAGAGCAGGTTGAAAACATCGGATGGTAACAATTTTCGCAGTCTGCTGTTACAGCGTCCCTGATTAATACATCGTAATTCGAAGGTGGAAAAGCGCTGGAATTGTTACAGTTGAGCACTTCTCGCTCCTTTTTTCCAGGTTTCTTTAGTATTGTGTTGGCTGTTGTTTTGATACTAATATCAGTACGTTTTATTTTTCAGTGAATTCCAGTACAAAACATAACTGTGTGAACACCACCTGGAATCCTAAAAAATGCACAGGTGAGTTGGCGTTGGCAGCCGCGCGAGATGGAAGAACACATATTGGATCGACAAATCTACTATGCGGCCCACTGGAAGAAAATATTGCACAAAATCAAAATAGTGGAGATTCTGATGTTACAGCTGTAGGTACTCAGTAGTGGTGAGTGACATATGTAATTATTGCCTCTCTTACACGACAGTTTCGAAGCTGTTCAACCGATTGTATATTGACTGAACAGTAGAGCGAGACGTTATACCGTAGAGTCTAAATTCACACCGAGTGAATAGTCGATCGAGCCGAGAATTGTCTCGCTCACTATTGCAGCAATGGTGTAAGCCCGCGATAAAATAATGGTTAAGCAAAACAATTTTATATGAGATATTCCCAGGAAGCAATCTGCCACTGGGTTATTATACTTAAAAACAGTGAAAAAGGACATCGAGTACATTGTGAAACGTCATCCTACTGCAAATACGCAAAAATTTTCGTTAAACGATAATCAATAATAATCACACAGAGACCTCCCTTGGTCTCCATGTGAGACTCGCAGTATTGAAATAAAATAAATATTGAACACTATAATCGACGGAGAGTGGGAAGGAACATGGGTTAATGCCCTCTTCCCCCACCACGCCCGGTGAAGCTGCCAGTCTTTAAATAAAGTGTATTCATTCATTCATTCATTCGTTCATTCATGCGTTCATAACTTCATTCTACGCCTATAACTGGATATACTGGATGGAATTCACGTTGGGTCTATCGTAATGTACGTGTAATAATTGATCTATTCTACACCCAAAATTTTGCTATACCAAGACCTGAAGTAGATTCACGCCTATATTACAGCAGTGCAATGACAGTATGGAATTTCTTTAGAGGGCCTTCGCAAACATTGCCGGGCAAAGGATTCAAGCACTTATTCATATTTGAAATAATAATTTAGTAAATAATGTCTAACTGGTGTTATAAAAATCTATGGATGATCTGCCCGAAGAGAACGCCAATGGGAAGGGAAGCAGCAGCAGTGCGCACGGCGTTGACCCGGTTGAACCGGGTGTCAACGCGGGTGCTGGAAGAGCGGTTTGAAGTGGAACTCATATAGCGTTTATTGGAATAACGTTTGTCTAAACGCAAAGACGTGGGAAGGGGAACGCGTTGAAGACACTTGTGCATTACTTCTTTGGCTCGCGTCTCATCGGTGTTACCCACGCGCCATCTCTATTCTCGAATGTGATCGGCGTTCTTAATTCGCACCTCATCAGCATAGTTGGTCTTCCACTGCCGACTCTTGCGTTCGGCTTTACTGGCTCGCGCCTCGTCGGTGTTCCAGGCGCGACGTCACCATTCGCGAACACCTCAAACAGAAAGCACGCTCGAAAACAGCGTACACAGTGTGAGCGCGGACTAACAACGTTCACACCTCGATCCTTGATTGATTTTTGGGGTTTAACGTCCCAAAACCACCATATGATTATGAGAGACGCCGTAGTAGAGGGCTCCGGAAATTTTGACCACCTGGGGTTCTTTACTGCGCACCCAAATCTGAGTACACGGGCCTACAACATTTCCGCCTCCATCGGAAATGCAGCCTTCACAGCCGGGATTTGATCCCGCGACCTGCGGCTCAGCAGCCGAGTACCTTAGCCACGAGACCACCGTGGCAGGGCACACCTCGATCCTCAAAGTACGCTGTTCGAACAAAAAGAAAGACGCATGAAATGAGCGCACAAGTATACACAGGATAAACGCGAGTAACTGTAACAATACTTGCTGCTCGACGTGTCAGCATCGTGCTCATTTCGCAAACGCGGCGGTGGCAACGTCCGAAGTGACCTTCGTCTTCTCCCAAATTACGAGTCGGATAAGCACGTGCGCAGAGTCATCGTGTTTCGTGGAAGCGGCGCTTTGTAGAGGTGACCTTCGTGCAGGTAACATTTAGAGCACCCCCAACGCGAGCCGCTCGCGACTTCTCACCACAGATAACGAAAACGCGATAATGTTTCCAAGCTACGAGGAGTCTTCAATCGTGTATGTTGTATATAAATGACGTGCTGTTAGCATTCCAGCCCACGTACGCTCTATGGCGGCATTCTTTCGCCGGCACTCGCACGCGACGGACGCAAGAATCGTGGGCTCCCGCGGAGCAGCGAAGACGGTTATTGGTGGCCGCGGAAGCAGGAGATTACAGACGAAAGTGACAAAGACTTTGAGTCGTGCCGAATCTGCGAGCAGGATGTGTGGATTTAACACAGTGTTCTTGCACGGTGATATTCTAGTGAGGCGTTTCAAGGTCAAAGATTTCGGGGATTCGCTAGCCAAAGAACGGCTGCTTCCCTACGTAATACCATGGGGCGCCTATCAGATTGTCACAATATTATGTTATCCGGCTCAGCTTGTTGGAGGAAACGAAAAGAACGCAAGAAGGGGGACACGGGGTGGCGAAAAATCACTCATTTCTCTGAATGTGACGGATACAGCAAGATGAGGAAGCATCCAGATAAGCGAAACCCCACTAACTAAATACTACGTCCTATCACGGCAACTTCGAACTTGTGTCCTCTTTTCCAAGTCAGTACTCATCTATATGCATGCTCAAATTGAGAGTAACCACTCTCGGCTGCGCGTCCTCACCATCGTAACTCACCACGTCGGTCTCTCTCGTCCTTTGCACTGGTGTCGACCGTTGTTACGTGCATGATGCAAGGTGCTGGTCTGGTGTTCCCTTGTTGCACTCACTGCAGACAGGCTTGTCAAGCTCGTCAGAGTCACCGACAGACGCTCGTTACTTCGTGACCGAGAAAAAAAGCCCTCTTTATTAATTTCGTCGTGAAATATGTACAGTCAGAATGATCATATGACTCCCGTGATAACGGGATAAAGGAAACCAAGATAGCGCGTGTCTTGGTGCTTGTCTCTGGAGCAGGCGGCCATGGAATGCAGCAGGATGACGTCACATCTTCCCCGTTTTATAAGCATCGTGGGCCTGCCAAACAAAGGAAAGCATTTCAGAAATCAATCATCAATATCAAGTCTTTTTGGAGCTCGTATGATGCGCCCATATCGCGTCGTTCTTTGCTCAAGACTTGAAGTTTTGTTCGATGAACAAGGCTCTTCGATGTCAGACGACTTGGTAGCTACGATGTCTTTGTCCGTCGCGTCCGTTGGCTCGCTGTTTCGTGGATGCTTATCCGTCCTTACGGGGCTTGTTTCTCCTCCGTGTGAGAGAAGGAAGAGATGACGCCTGTTTCTGCGTACGGTTTTTCCTTCAGTTTGGACCCAGTAGGATCTCGGTGTTTTAGAAGGACGAAGGACCGTGCCCTCGGCGCCTCTGTCTTTGAGCCATACTTGAGTGCCTGCGGTTAGACAGGGAAGAGGTCTCGCAGCATGACGTTTGTCAAAATACATCTTTTGTTTTTGTTTGTATTTTTCGTCTTGCTCTTTCCAAGAAGCCTTTACTACTTCTTGCTTTAGCGCGGATGGCAAGCAGGGTACTTTTGAGCGTAAACGGCGGCTCATTAGTAGCTGCGCTGGACTATAGCCGGTTGGACCCGGCGTGTTTCTATAGTTCAGCGATGTGATGTAGGGGTCCTCTGCCTTCTTCAAAAGTCTTTTAAGAGTCCCTACCATGCGCTCAGCTTCCCCCGTTAGCTTGAGGGTAACGAGGACTTGTTGTGATATGCCTAAAGCCGTAGTTTTTTGCAAAATCAGCAAACGTGAATGAGAGGAATTGTGGTCCGTTGTCTGATATTACCGTTTGCGGTATCCCATGTCTGGCAAAGCAGCTTTGCAGATGCTGGGTGACTGCCTTCGACGACGTTCCTCAATTCAGCAGGGCCAGCTCAGGATACCTGGAGCGATAATCAACAACGGCAAGATAGACAGCTCGTTTCATCTCAAATAAATCAATTCCGATTTTCTGCCATGGCAGCTCGGTTGTTTCCGATGGAATCATTGGTTCGGAAAATTGGGTACGCTCTGTGGCGCATGCTTGGCAGTTGGCCACAGTTTGTGCCATGTCTTTGCTGATTCCTGGCCACCAGAGAGATTCTTTAGCGCTCGCGTGGCAGCGTGCAATTCCCTGGTGTCCCTCGTGAACCCTCCGAAGCATTTTTTTTCCGCAGCGGTCGTGGAATCACCAGCCTTGAGTCCTTCAAAAGCAGCTGCTTGCATACTGTGATGTTACCACGTTGCGCTCAGAATGGCTTGAGAAGTTGTGGTGTGTAGTGCTTGGCGGGCCAACCTTGCGTACAAGCTTCGAGCAACAACGCACATTCGGGGTCGTTTGCTTGCTCTGAGCGTATGCGTTCGAGCATGTCGTCAGAGAACGCATACTGAATGACTCCCTCCACGTGAGCCGAAACGTCTGCTTCAGACAACTCTCCGACCGAAAGCGCAGTGTTCATCACTCTCGCGCGAGAAAATGTGTCCGCTGTAGCAATGCTTTTCCCTGGGACGTGTGTTAGCGTGAACGAGTACCGCATAAGACACAATTTGAACCTTTGAATTCTCGGCGGTAGAGAATCAAGAGGATCTCAACCCAGTAGTGGGAGGAGAGGCTTGTGATCCGTCTCAAATAGGAACGTGAGGCCTCTTAGGAATTCTTTGAAGCGTTCCGCAGCCCAAGTTAAAGATAATGCTTCTTTTTCGATCTGTGAATACCTCTGCTCTCTTTTTGTGAGCGATCTGGAGGCATATGCAACAGGACGTCTCTCACCAGATGGTTGATCCTGGAGGAGTACTGCGCCAACCCCTAGTGAAGACGCGTCCGCCGATACAAGTGTCGAGTACAGGGGGTTGTACCTCGCCAGGCATCTGTCTGAGCTGAAAGTGGTCTTGATCTTTTTAAAAGCTGTCTCTTGTTAAGGTCCCCAAAACCAGTCGCTGTCCTTGTTGAGGAGGCTGCGTAAAGAAGCAGACATTGAAGCTGCATCAGGTAAAACCTTGCGAGATAGTTCATCATGCCTAACAAGGATCGAACCTAAGCAACATTTTGGGGTCTGGACAATTGCTTGATTGC